GAGGGGGTCTGTGGGTATAGGTCTTCATTCCACAAGATCCTAAGATTTCTACAAAAATGACCTCCAGCCCAGGTCACACACTCTCACCAGACCAGACTCTCTCTCTCAAAATGACACAACTATCTCCTGACCTGACTACAAACTCACCATCTCATCCCCTCACCCATTCACTTACATTTAAACTGGACCTTTAAATTTGCCATATGGCAGCTAACGTCTAAAAAGGGGTTGTAGCCCATCTTCCCCAATTCTCCCAACTCTGATGCTGTTCCTCAATTGACATTGTGGGTCAGAAGGTCTCTGAAGAAACACACAGCAATCTGACTACCATTGCAGGTGCTGCCCAGGCCATCTGAGTCAATATTTTAATGAGGTTGCATACTTCATATTTTAGCTGTTTTAGATTTAACACCATGAACAGTGTCCCACTTAGCATCGTGATACCAAATAAAAAAAAGGTCTAGAAATGTGAAGTCAGACTTGCATTCTGGCAGTTCTCTCACGGTGCGTGACTGTCAGGTGATCTGACCACAGAAAAGTACCTCCCTCTGGCCTCCAACATAGACTTGGCTAGAGAAGAGGAGTACCTCTGTCTGGCCTCCACTCACCATTAACCGCAAATCTTCAAAGCTTTTCTGTTTGTACGTTGACTCAGACCAAGTCCTTATCATTTGCACTCAGTGACCTTTATTGGCTTAAGACCTCAAATTTAAAATTCCCAACATAATGTTCAAATCCATTCATGACTTCAACGCTCCCCATTTCTGGAATGTCGTCCAGCTATAAAACTTTGTTCTGTGATCATTTAACTTGAATGCCTTTGCTATAAAATAGGCAGCTGTGCCTTCAGCCATTTCAGTCCAAACTCTGGAACTGCCATTTCCTCACTCACATTACTCTCTTCTCCACGTTAATTAGTTATTATTCACAAAGAGAATAGCATAAAAGCATTGAGCAAAATAATGTTCAAGATACACCAATACATCAAGCTTCCTAGCACATTGATTACTTCTGCCACAACAGGCACTTAAAGAGCATTTATAATGCACCTAATGATTTAATTGGCTCATTGAATCAAAGAAAATTTTTGTTGCCAAATGATGGAATGAAAAAAAATGAGACAAATAAATATGTTAACTTTTTATAATAATATGGCTAATAGAGTTCAACTGAAATGTCCCTCTTTCTATGGCCTGATCATTGTCATAATAATGTCTATTATGATGAATGCACAAAATGGAACCATTTTACTTGACTCTTGATGGCTTCAGAACTATTTAGCCGGTATCCACTGGTTCTTTAAACTGGAACACTCATGAACGTATATAGCAAAATTCTGCAAAACAAGGCGTTTTTGCATGAAATTTCCATAAGCAAATTATGACATTTAAAACATCGTGAAAGAAGTCAAAGCATTTCTATTTGGGCAAAAAAAATGTTGATCTCAGTAGATTTGCTTCTGAATTTATCATGAGCCATTAAAATTAACTTTTTAATGACAAGGGTGTTTTCAGTAGAATTTAGAATAGATTCAGAGCCTCTTAACACAGGGCAGTTACACAAGATTTAGTCCTTGAAAATCTGTGAATTCCACAGCTTATCTTCGACAAACAGTTCTTGGATATACTGCCAAAATGAGTATCTGTCATGCTTCACTGTTATCAGGTTAGGTGTGAAAAGCTGTTATTGTAATGATAGTCGAAAGTACCAGTAAGAACTGGTCAGTGGCAAATGCTGGGCTGTAGTTAAATGACCAGGTCACCTCCAAAATAAATGAGTACGGTTTCAGCCAACTTGGGGCTTAAAGGAAATGAACAGGCCTATCTATGAAGAAATGCCACGGAAAAACAGAAGAGATAATCCTTGAGTTAGCCAACGGTATTCAGAACCTACAAACGTTGATGCAGCTGCAATACCGACTGTGTTAATGAAAAAGCTTCGATGGACAGTACAAAACATAGCGTGCAAGGTCAGGGTATTGTAGGGTACTCGTTTCCCCGATAATAGAAATAACCAGGCAGGGAACTACGCAATGTCTTCTTTTTGCAGAAACATGGCAGTTACATAGATGGTATATGACGACTGCATGGATGATATAAAGTAACTGCAGACTGCCCGAGCACGGCTCACATTCTTGTAGACGCAGTTAGTCACGTAAACTGAATGTTCCAACAATACATTTAGCAGTTGTTATTTCCTTTTCACTTAGCCTCGGCATGCTCCACTTCCTTATTTTGCAGCTTTGGTTCGCATTTATCTCTGGTATTTTGCCTTTCTCATGATTTTTTAAACAGGTGTTTTTCACGACTACCTGTTTAACTATTCATCTTATGCTCGCTACTTTGTAGTCTGTTTCCTAACCTTTATCCCGGTATGGTCGCCTTGCTTCCGTCTTAAAAACGTCCCTATTGTCCTCTTTACTGATTACTACTTAGACTAATCGCCAAGAACAAAATATCCCCTTATGTTAGCACATTGTTTTAACTCTTTCGCTACTATTTTAAAATATTAAGTTGTTATCTATGTATCCCACAGGTACGAAGTTCACAGGAACACTGACAATAATCTAGCAATGATGTTGAATATTTAATAGGTTCTATTTCAAAATTAAGTGAAGATGAGCTGCAAGGTCTTATTTTAATGTTATAGAGTATACTATCTCATGATAATGCTTCCCAATCGTTTGAACTGAGACATTATGCATGACTTTCAGAAGTCTGACGATGTTTGCTTTTAAATGTCATAAAATGTAGAATTCCTTGATTACAAACTGGAGGTTCTTTGTATATTAGAGAGAAAATAAAATTCTGCCATTTGTCCATTGATGGTTCTAGTCATATTTAATGATAACCTAAGAGAAATCCATTGAAATCAATAAAAACATTACAGAATGTCTAAATAGTACCACTGGCTTTTAGCAAGGTGTATTAAATATCGCAATTTACCAACAGAAATTCATTTCCATGTTATTGCATAATGTTTTGTTTCCAGCATTTTCCATAGTTCTATTCATGAGAATCTATGCTATATAATGAAGGAATACTGGTTAAATAGTTACTCAGCAAGCCAGAAGGGATTGAAAAAAAGCACACACTGATTGTTATTTATGACTTCAAATAAAGAATAAACAGGCATTTTCATTATCATTTGGAATTGTCTTTCTCTCCCAACACCCAACTAACTCTCATGAAAACAGTGGTCTGTTGTTTATTGCAGTTGTCATTTGCTGGTTTACTAAATACAAAAAGAATATTTCAACATAGGAAAACAGTTGATTTGGAAAAGATGAATACCAGTTTAATCAAATTTTGCATTGATTGATTAGTCAAATTTAAAATATTGCCATTTAGGACATTTCAACTTTCTATGTAACAATAGATTTGGGGACTGTAATATGGATTTAAACTTTTAAAAGAATCAAAAACATCAATTCAAAAATGTCTCCTTTTCTGTTGTTTCCTGCCAATAAAATCCTCCTCACAAATTTCTTACAGAATCCACACAAAAACACATACCATGTGGTCCATTACATCTCAGGTGGTATCTTTTCTGCATGAGCCATATCTGGATCCCATCCTCCGAATGACTTCCTACCACTATGGCACATCTTGTTTTTCAAACAACTATGTATTCATCTTCTTTTAAAAACTAGATTTTGCTTTGACAGTGGTTTGTGGCTGAAAGTTCCACTTAATAGTAACGTTGTCTCATTTCTATAGCACAGAATGACACCATTCAGCCCAGTTGGTCTATGTCTGCAGTTGTGTTCCAAATGAAACACCACTTATCCCTCTTCATAGACTGCAGTACCACATTGTTCTATTATTTTCTCCTCCAAATTACCATCGAACTGCCACTTAAATACAGTTCTGCTATTTGGTTCAACTACTCCTTCTGGTTGCATATTCCACATTCCCAACATTGCCATTTTTATATATGCATCTTTAATTCTTCAATATCTTTTGAATCTTAAATTCATAAACTGTCTTACTGTTATCTCAATCTGTGGAAATAATCCATCATCTAATCATAACTGCCAGTGTTTTCAATTCTTTTGCACTTGATATCCTTTCCAGTTCAATTTTACCAGAAATCCTCATTAGCAGATGATCTGGAATGCACTGTCTACCGCCCAATATGTAGCTGGATGAACGCATGATACAGATGGTGCAGAAAATATGCCAGCTACCGACAACTATTACACACCATGTGATTTCTCCAGTCTTTATGGAATGTAGCTGTTGTGACTCATTAACAAGACAAGATACAGTTCGCAACCATCAACAGGTTGACTCCAAACTAAGTGGCTGATTGAATAGCATAACATTTTCCCAAAGAGCAATTTTCTTGTGTTCGTTAGTTGTGAAAAATAATAACGATGCAAATTCTTAACATTATTAACATCAACCCATGTGGCATTATTTTAAACTTCTGGAAGCTACATTATCTCCGATATTTGAAACAGTCCTTGAGATTACAATTACCTTGTTCGAGAGAGAGAGATTCCTCCATGCCTTCAGAATGGAGCTGTTCCCTAAGTACTTGATTAGCCAACAGCCTGCATGTGATAAATAACTCATCGGACTGCCTCTTTCCAAATGACTGTTCAGTAACCATTGAACTATTCTGTATGACCGACTGAAAATCTTACGAGAAGGCCTGCCTTTGCTCCTCAGAGTCATTTAATGTAACTGATATTTTGGACCTATCAAACGTAGCAACTCCTTGGAACTGCCTGTTCTTTGAATGTTACAATTTTCACGGACTGCAGGCTTGCACAATACAAAGTATATAGAAAAAGAGGATTTTATCTAACATCAAAATCTTTTATAAGGTTAATTAAGCCTTTTAGAAATTTATTCTGACCAGGCCAGATTAACTCATGTTTCTTTGAGCACTTATTCATTTCCTTTCCTTAAACATTATGAGATCTTCCCTTCTCCATATCCAAAAGTTTTAAACTGCTTCAAAATTTTCAAGACATTAAAATTTTATTTTACCTTAATGTCTTCCGTACCATGTCTTCATCAGTAATCCCATAGTAAGTGAGAGTCTCGTTCCAGATTGGATTCAACGTATTCCGTAAAGTTTTTGTCCTTAGTTTGTTGGCCTAAAACCAAACAATACAAAATAGCTTAATGTTATTGTCGATATTTAATGTGTCTTGAAATTTGATTTATTCGCACAGAGGTATCATTTGAAAATTTATTCTTGTCATGTTGAAGTTGCTGTCAGTGAATCTTTGCTTCTGAAGAGACTCTACTGCCGAAGCCCCAGCATGCAATCAATTTAAATTCATTGAATGGACGAGAACCTTCACTCCTACAACCTTCGCCTTGTTGTAAAATCCTTTAACAAAACTAAATCTTGATGAATGAGAGGTAACTGTCTTTCTGACATCAAACTAAATCATAACTGCTTCTGAACAGTCTTAGTGGCCTAGAAACAGTAATGTTAATATTTGGTGATAATCAAAGATCTCCATTATGATAAATTCCACATATTTGATTTTTTAAACAAAATACTTTAGGGTGGTTAAAAAGGTGTTTCGCATGCTTGGCTTCACCACTCAGACCTTTGAGTATAGGAGTTGAAACGTCATGTTGAGGTTCCACAGGATGTTGATGAGGCTTGTTCTGGAATATTCTGGGTGCCCTGTTACAGGAAGGATATTATTAAACTGGAGAGGGTTCAGAAAAGACTTACCAGAATGTTGCTGGGAATAGAGAGTTTGAGTTATAAGGATAGGCTGAAAATGCTGGGACTTTTTTCAATGGAGCGTAGGAGGTTGAGGGGTGACCTTACAGAGATTTATAAAATCATGAGGGGTATCAATAATAGCAAATGGTTTTTTTTCCCTAAGGAGGGGGAATTCAAATCTAGGGGGCATATTTCTAAGGTTAGAGGAGAAAGATTTAAAAAGGACATGAGGGGCAACTTTGTTTTTACACAGAGGGTGGTTTGTATGTGAAATGAACTGCCAGAGAAATGGTGGATACGGTACAACATTTAAAAACATTTGGATAGGTACATGAATAGGAAAGGTTTGGAGGGATATGGGCCAAGAGCAGGCAGTTGGGACTAGTTTAGTTTGGGAAAAATGGTCTGTGTGGACTAGTTGGACTGAAGGATCTGTTTTCGTGCTGTATGACTCTATGACTCGCTTATAGTGTTTTATCTTCTATCTTAATGTGTAGTTTCCAATCAACTAATTTGCCACTTGGAAGATGTAAGTTTTAAAGAAAGGAATTCAATTTCTTTTTTACTTTCTGGTTTGCTGTCTGTGAAAAAATGATACTTAACTTCGTTTGATGCCATTGTTATCACTGCCAAATGCCTGAAGCTTGTGTTGCCTTGATGCCAGAAGCAAACTGATGTTAGAACAAAGTCTGCACCACAGAGATCATTAAAACACTGTGGGCAAATTTCTTTGAAGTTATTGGCAAATGCAGTTGCTTTGCCACTGATCACAAAATCCAGCTCACCAACTTGATTATAATACAGTTGTTCATTAGTTTCCTTGTTTGGTAAACACTGTAAATTATACTTGACTGTCATTCTGCCTTCACTCCAAAAATCTCTCATATCCATATTCAGGGACATCACTAGATTCTGCTGCAGATATGATACAACTGTGCCTGAGAAGTGCACTTGTTTACTATTATGAACACTGGACTTACATAAAATACTTATGGTTTAAATTGTCCCCTTTAGGGCAAGATAAAATTGAGCAGGCTGAAGAGGGTTTGTGTCCTCCTACAAAAACTGCCAGGAGACAAGATCATTGGGCAACATAGTGGCGCAGTGGTTAGCAATGTTGCCTCACAGTGCCAGGGACCCAGATTCGAATCCACGCTCGGGTGACTGTCGGTGTGAAGTTTGCATATTCTGCACGAGTTTCCTCCAGTTGCTCCAGTTTCCTCCCATAATCCAAAGATGTACAGGTTCGGTGGATAAGCAAGGGAAAAGCAAGGTTACAGGGATAGGGTGGGTTTGGATTGGATGTGGGCTCAATGGGCTGAATGGCCTGCTTACATACTGTAGGGTTTCCATGATTCTATGTGAACAGGTAGGGATAGGGGCCCAGGTCAGAACTTACAAAAAATAAAGAGCAAGATTTGCCAACTGAAGTAAAATAGGGTGCAGCTGTTTTTACTGCATATAGACTCACAGACAGTCGAAACAGTCAGAGGGGTTTTGGGGAAGACCCACAACCCACAAAAGGTCATGTACTTCCAGCTGGAAAAAGGGCAGTTTCTGGGTTCACCTCTAATCACAGTGAGGCTGGATCCCCCTTTTCTAAAGGCACAAAGCTTGTGGATAGTTAATGACCCAGTAGTCAGCATTAGTAGTCCATGCCCAGAAGACCATGAGAAGTAGCTTTTGTTGAAAAGGACAGTGGTACATTCACCCAGGCGGGGGAGGGAGAGGAAATGCTGCTATTGCTGGGAGGAGCAAGACCTTCCTACCGAGAGTACATAAATCCCCAGGCCATGTTTAATTTGTATTAAGAAATAACAGGGAATACCTTTTCTGTTATTTAGTGAGCTGGTCGTCCACACAGTCATGCTTAGTTAATGTTGATTTACGTTCATTTATTACAGTTGACACCTTAAAACTTGAAACCTTGTTATGTGATTTTATTTGTGTTAGTCACTGAGAAGCTCATATCTCTTTTTAAAAGAGATCAGTCCCTAACGCTATCCCTTGCTAACATTCAGGGATCTCACTTCAAACCTGTGGACACTATGAGCACATCAGCCCTTCTCCTCCCTGGCCTCCTTAAAGGACTAAGTATAGTTGCACAGACCTCCTCTGTGTTACTGCACCTGTCTCTCTTTTTCACCACAGAAAGCAAAGATTGATCAAAACTATGCCCCTTCAATTGGGAAAACTATGCAAAAAAAAAGGCTGAGTGCTGAGAAATGGCAAAAAGTTAACATAGTCAGAAGAAAAATCCTTTTCTTTCAATTTTTAAGGCAGATGTTTGCAGGGGACTGGCCCTTCCAGTGGCATTAAAAATTTCCATCAGCATTGGTAGATATGCATTGTCATTAATGATCACCAACATAACGTTAGTAAAAATGTCATTGGCGTCCAAGTGATGTTATAAGACCAAAATTGTATTCCTGGATATGGCTTGCAAGCATTTCTGATGTGATCTCGACCACCTATCTCTGAGGCTCGGACAGATGTGGAGGCAGATGTAACAGTAGAAGCAATCGGTAGATAACTTATTCATTACCATTTAGATTGCATTATTGTACTATTCTTAATCATAAACAAGGAATTAAATTGTTCCTAGACACATGCAACCATTGGCGATGAGGAAGATTGAATTGTTTAATCTCCCGTCAGACTCTATTTGCAAAGCAACAGGAGTGCCTTGCAATTTAGGACCTCCTGGCTAGATCGGGATTCTCCCCATTTTCATTTCGACATTCAGCACAAGAAATGTACACGTCACAGCTGGATTGACACATATTCATGAATAGGTTAGAATTTTACTGAACAAGTGTTTAAAAAAGCACTGTCACAGGTGGATATTGAGCAAATGCTAATTTTTGATTCCCACAAATGAAATCACATTCTCAGGAAGCACACATTTGAAAACAGCCTGTTATCTATTCTCAACAGCACAACACAACACCAAAAAATTACCAGAGCAGAATATAGCTCTAATTAATACAAATAAGATATTTACAAGGGAAACCATTAGGTCATAACCACGGAGTCTTAGAATCATAGAGATCTGCAGCACAGAAATGGCCCTTCAGCCTATTTCGTCTGCACTGGTCAAAAACCACCACCTAACTATTCTAATTCCATTTTCCAGCATTTGGCCATAGCCTTGGCATTACAAGAGCAAATCAATACTAAATACTAATACTGCAGTACACACTAAATGCTCAAAAAAGGAATTAATATGGTCTTCAAGAGGGTCATTTAATCATTTGCTTTCACATCTTAATGGCTAAAGTCCCATAGTTAGATCTATGAAGGGGCTACTTGCAACAAAATAAGGTTAAAATCTTTGATTAGCACTCAATCTGTGATCTGGGTGCAAATTACGCTTTGTTTGAGAAGATCATTTCCTTGGGTTTCACTCAAATTATTTACATATTAACAACTACAAAAGCTGCCATTAGCTGGCAGTATGTTAGAAGGTTTTTTTTTTAATTCAAAAAACTAGCACAAAAAATTCTTAAGTCTGGACGAGATATAATATATTTGAAATCCCTCAATTTTCTGGGCGACTTTACACCAAAACAAGTGTGACCAAAGGATCTCTTTAGCTTCTGGCGTCTAAAAACTGAAGGCATGTCTCAGCACTCCTCTGCACCACCTTACCCTCCAGGAGCTTCAGGTCCCCATCCACAAAGCAAGGCAACAACCTCTCCTTATCTGTCATGTCTGGGGCAAATCTTATGGACTTTGTAGGGCAGATCTGCAGTGCCAGCAATCATCAAGGTGTCAAATGGCTTTCTAAATATTGCACCACCACCAGGGATGCCAGTTTATCCCTGGACATCTCAGCGGTGGCGAGTTCTTTCAGCAACAGCGAGTGGTAGAATTTGGCTAACATCGGAGAAGAGGGATGCAATGGGGCAGGATGGGTGGTTAATGAGGTGTGTTACAAAACTCACTAGGCCTCATGGAGAGAAATGCTCAGTGGAATTCAACAGAAATGAAACTTTGCTGAAATATTGTAAAATCCAGCTCTTTTTATTTGGATACTCACTATATAAGCTCACCATTGTCAGCCATGATATAATTATGCTTACATTAACAGTCTGCCTCAATTTTTCAACCCACAAATGCAGGTTTTATCTAACAACTGGGTGCAAGTGATTAAGCAGGCAACATGGACTGTGCTGTGAAGGTGCACGGGAGTTTAAGATATGCATTTACAGAGCAGACCCAGCATGGAGAAGGGCTGCCTTCGATACTAGCGGCTCACTTTTATAGTTTATGTATAAGTTAACCATTGTATCTGGAAGGATTTTGCAAGGCTTCAATGTTCGGCTTATACTCTAACATTTACAGTAGCACCTGACACTAACTTTTAAGGTGTCCGCCAAGCACATACATACAGATGGCTTTTCCACT